CAGCGGCGGCCCCGACGCTTGGGGAGTCTCCGGAGGCCGCAGCTGGATTTGGGAATGGGGCTGGGGAACGGCTCCTGCTCCAGAGCAATGCAACTAACGCTGCTTTTTCCAGGAGCTGCAGCCGATGCCGTTCCCTGCAGCCGCGTCCTGTTCCCCCTTCCCTGCAAGGTAAATACAGAGACCAGAGGCCAATGAACTGGTAACAGGTCTTTACTTAAAGTTTTCCCCGTAACGCAGTACAAATGAAAAAATAAACGTACATCATCACAGTTAACTCACAATTTTAATTCATTGAAGCAGGAAACGAAACTGAGTGGCCCATTCCATGGCACCGGCCTTTTGGAAATAGTGCAAACACCCCATGCGGCCCCGCGAGCGCCGCTGCTCGCGGCTCTTGCAGCGACCGGGGGGGTGCACAGGCAGTTACTGTAAATTCCCCTCGGGAAGAAAAATACATTGAGGAACAGCAGGCGGCAGGGAAGGGAGCCGGGAGACCCCCGGAAGCTCCGCGTGTCCCTGCCTTCCTGCGGATCCTCCCTTATCCTCCTTGGAGCCCGGGACGGAGGCTGGTGGCGCTCCTGGTCTGCGTGGGCCCGTGCCCGGGCAATAGCACCTTTGCAGCGGCAGGAAAACGACACCGTAAACCCAGGACTTAATGTGCTTGGGCCTTAATGTGGGATTAGCTGCGGGCAGCGAGTGCAGGGAAGGGGAGGCCAGTTGTCCCCTGCTGCTGGTGCCCGCTCCGACACAGTTGCGGAATCATCTGCTTGATCCGTAAGGATCGGGGCGGATTCCCATGGCACCCCCATGTCACCTGCGGTTCTTCTCCTGGATCATCTCCTCGAGGATCCCGGCCCCGGGCGCTTCTTGTCGGCCTCTTCCCAGAGGGGTGGCCTCCACCGAAGGCCTCCGGTGGGAGCGAGCGTCTCCTTCCATGGAGGGGGATGCTCCGAGCAGGAAAGGGGAGCTCCCACGGCAGGTCTGGGAACGCTCCATTTCCACGTGCACACAAACAGGGATCTGCATCGCCCTGGAGAGCCCCGGGTTGTCCAAGCGCCGTTTCCTTCCGTAGGGACAAGGACGGTGTCACCCGGGGGGATGCGGAGGGCTCGGCCCCAGTCTGGGGCTCCCATCCCGCTGGAGCAGCAGAATAAATACGTGGAACAGGCTGGGAGCTCACAGCGGTGCTGGTGGGACACCCGACAGTCACAGGAAAGGCAGATTCCGCGGATCCGCGGTAGAGGCATTTTAATGGACGAGGTGGCTCCGGCGAGGCTCCATGCAGCCCGA